GACATTCTTTCATCTGGAGCGCCAGAAAAAAAAAAAAAAAAAACGGTAAATAAATGAACAAAGTGAACGAGCAACGTGTTCGATCGAAAGACGAGTGGCCCCGATTTAGGATACTTTGCGTTGGTAATTTTGGAATAGCAATTAACACGTCTATTCTATGTACAGTTAAATCATTAAGGACCAAGGTTGCAATTCTCTTCATCCAATATCTGTATTATCAAATTCTGTTTTCTACTTTGAGATTTTTGAGATTATTTGAGATTATAAAAGGAAGTTCCAAGGACGTTCAATGTTCTTTTTTTGTCATTATATTTATTTGTCTTTCAACTAGATTTTGTAATTTTTTAAACTTTGATGAGATTGAGATATTTATAATGTTAGCTCAGGCTTAGTTCTTTAGCTTTAGCTTAGTTCTTAAGAGATTCATAAAAAAACTTGAACGTTAAACGTCGTGCGAGTACTTACGTAAGGAATTAATCAGTGATTTAAATACATCTGCTGCTGCGATTCTTAGTGGAATAATTTGTATAGTATATATATATATATATATATATATATATATATATATATATATATATATAAAATACTTCTTTCTTTTCCTTTTTCATCAAACTTGCATAGTATTTACTATGTGTAGATTCTAAAATGTCTAGAGTCTGTAAAGTGTTTTTTAAATTATACATGTGTAGTTAATAAATGTTTTAAAGTAATAAATTTATAATCATCCGTAGCTAAACGGGACTTTAACTATCTACACTGGCTGATTATTAGATGCATGCTTAAAAAATGTTAAAATAAATAAAAATCGTTCTGTATAACTTAATTCTCAAGTCATGAATAATTGAAGAAAGTGTTCAATCTGTCTACTTTGTCCCCCTAGTTCGTGCTACATTTATTTTTTCTTAATTAATATTTACAAAGTAGGTAGTATCCGTCAATACGAGTTAAACAAAATTCAATCCATCAGACTTTTATTTTTCATGCAATTTGCATATTTAACTAAGGTAAATAACGTGCACGATTCAAACTCGAATGTATAATTCAAAAGCTAAGATACGTAGAATACAGATATTGATATCCATAATTTGTAGCATTTCAAATCACGAAAGAAAGTACAAAGTTTTGAATTCTCGAAACTCGAAACTTTCTTGGATTTTAAGAAGTTTCAAGATTCAAATAATCCGTCCCTAATAACTTTTAACCAATAACAAGATTAAGAATTTATGTAAGTTCACTCCTTTTAATGAATATATCACGAGAATTAACAAGAAACTACTTTTAGATTTATTTTAATTTATATTTTCCGCTATTTTATTTTCTTCTTTCTTTTATAATCTACCGCCGCTGTTTTAAAGCTCGTTTTAAAAACGTGCGCCGTTACAATTTTGAATATGGTGGCATCATTTTTCAGCCAATCACAAACGACGAACAAACCCGAACGAAACACCAATCAAGTACATTATTTACGAATATTTACCAAATAATGTCGCTGCTTTGTTGATAATTTTCCTGTGAAATAGCATAGAGGGCACTGTTGTCGTTACTTTGTCGTGACGCATATAACCAATCTTTCAACTACCATCGAGTAGTTCGAAACTGTTGTTTCGGAATTTGTGTCAAATTGTAGCAAATTTGATCTCGTTAATTTTGTGTATCTCTTCATATTTTCGGTACTGTTAACTCAATAACATGTATGAAATGTTTGTGAAGTGATTTGAATATTATTGAAAGACGTTTCAATCATTCTTGCGTATCAATTTATCGTTATATTTCTGATATAAATATAACCTGAAATTACGATACGTTTCTATTGTTTATACCACAAGAAGAATTATAGTATAATATCTTTTGTAACTAAACGAGTTTTCGAGTGATTTTTTTTGTTTGTTTGTTTGTGCTGGTCTGTTCAGAATATTTTTAATTAAGACAGAACTGCGAGGTTAAATAAACTGAACAAATATGAGTAAGTAACAGTTTTTTCACTAAGATTCTATTTCATGAAAGTTTTCTGTTTCGTACCATTTTTAGTTTGAATTATCTGTATTAAATTATTGAATGCTTTCGCATTTCAGATTCAGACGAAAGTGATTACGAGAATGGTAGTCAATATACCAATGGAAGCGTTGGTACAAAGGATAGTGGTTATTCGTCACTATTTCCTAGTTCAATAGACAGTGATGTCAATGACGATTATCCAGAAAATTCTGAGGAGGATATGACGTACAAATCTCATAAAATGTATCAAGATTTGTCTTGTGAACGTGATTCATCTGATGGGAGTTGCAGTCAAAGCATGCAAGATCACATCTACACAAGTGATTTGTCAAACGAAGAACCAAGAATTAAATTAAGGAAGATACACGATGAGTCTTCTCATCAAAATAAACGACAGAAGATTGTCAAAGCAAAAGCTAAACCGAATGGAGAGGAAGTACAAGCTGATTTGGATAAGGGTAAACGGATGATGAAAATGATGGGGTATAAAGAAGGTTGTGGCCTTGGCAAACATAAACAGGGCCGTCTGGAACCTGTCCAAGCAGCTAAACAACATGGTCGTAGAGGTTTTGGACATTATATTCCAGGACTTGAGGCTTCAGGTCTGAAATGGAATGCTGCGGAGGAGGAAATAAAATGTGTAGAAGATATGGAATGGATAAAAAATCCAAATCCCAATATGCCTACATTAGACAAAATGAAGCGTTCGTTGGTCACAGGACGGAAGAAATTGATCATAGATGATGAAACTTATTTTTGTCACGAAGATATAGTGACAAATGTTATCAATGCAAAAACGGTGTTTGACCGTTTGGACGATGTTGAAATGCGCCGAGCAAGAACACGCTGTAACCCATATGAAACAATTCGTGGTGCATTTTTCTTAAATCGTGCTGCCGTTAAGATGGCAAATATAGATAGAGCATGTAACTTCATGTTTACTAAACCAAAGAGTTTAGGAAAGAACGAACTGCTGTATTTTGCAGATGTTTGTGCTGGACCGGGTGGTTTCAGTGAATATGTTCTATGGAGAAAGAAATGGCACGCAAAAGGATTTGGTCTTACCTTGAAGAATGAAAATGACTTCAAGTTAGCTGACTTTTATGCTGGTCCTTGTGAAACATTCCACCCATACTATGGACCAAAGGATAATGGTGATGTTTTTGATCCAGTTAATCAAGAAGCTTTTAAAGATCTTGTAATGCAACATACTCATGGCAAAGGAGTACATTTCATGATGTCTGATGGAGGATTTTCAGTAAAAGGTCAAGAAAATATACAGGAAATTCTTTCAAAACAATTATATCTTTGCCAGTGTTTAGTGGCATTGATGATTGTAAGAGAGAGAGGTCATTTTGTGACAAAATTATTTGACCTTTTTACTCCCTTTAGTGCCGGTTTAGTTTACTTAATGTATCGCTGCTTTGAAGAGGTTTGTATTTTTAAGCCAAACTCTTCCAGGCCAGCAAATTCAGAACGCTATTTAATATGTAAAAGTAAACGGCCTGGCACACATGATGTTATGCAATATCTTAAACATATTAATCTCCTACTTCTAAAAGGCGATGAAAGTAATGATGTTTTACAATTAATATCATTTGATGAATTAGAGAGAGAAAAACAATTTATACAATATTTACGTGCTTCTAATGAAGAATTGGGGAAGAAGCAAATAATAAGTCTGTGTAAAATTGCTGCATTTTGCGAAGACAGTACTCTCGTTGAAGTAAAACAAGCTGATATGCGCAAAGAATGTTTGGAATATTGGCAGCTTCCAGATGAAAGTAGAATAATCCCAAGGCAAATGAAACCGAAAGATGTATTAAACACTCTTGTGAAAGATACTTCATTTCTTACTATTAGCCCAACACAATTGGAGATATCTAATATTGAAAATGCGCTATCATGTCCGTATGACTGGTTTTGTATGCCATGTGGTACACCAAAGCCTGAAGAAGAGAAAAATGATGCTACATTTTATATGGGGATGGGAAGAGGTAACGTATATCGATATGTAAGAAATTCTTGGCAACATATTGATGACATCAAGATAGAATTACCACCAAATACACTCGTATATGCAGAAGTTGTATATGAAATGATCAAGGAATTTAAATATCAGCAGAAGGTACTTGCGTTACATATTATAGATGCATTCTATTTAGGAGGAGAAAATGTCAGTCAAAAATATTTAAGCGACAGGTACGAAAGTACGAGGATATTTTGTGAAGCTTTATGGAAACCACCAGGAAATAATTATGCTCGTGTACGCGCCATGGAATTATTTCCTGTTGGTTCGGATATATGTGAAAAGTTGCGAATAACACAACGTCGAATGAAAAACAATAAGATTGCTTCTGTATATGAACTGCCAGAAACACCTTTAGACGCTAATATTTGTAATGATAAATTATATTTCATACCACGTTCTGTAATGTTTTTAAGAAGTACTGTACAGCCATGGAATCGACATGTTAGTAAAAAAACTTCCTTGACGTATGTTTATAATTATAAAACTAAGGAGACAGTATTCGATAGTGATAGACCAAGTTCAGCAGAAGCAAGTTTTATTGACTCTTTTAAAAGTCGCCTTATATGGCATTGGCCTAACAACGAGAATCTTTCTATGGATGAATTTGCAAAGTTCATTAAACACAAGTGTTCGAAATATTAAAATTGTAAAAAATACATACTGAAATATGTATGACACTGAATGAGAGCTTTAGTTAATTAATATGTAGGAGCCAGATTAATTCCATCGAAATTTATTGTTTAATTTTTAAAAAATAAAATAGTTATGTATTTTATGTGTTGGTATCAAATCAAATTTTTATCATTAATGAATTCTGCAAATTCTATTTTAGAAAATAATATTGGTTTGTTTGACTTCTGAGTGGCTCAATCGCGATATTAGGTTAGTAAGTACGCAAATGTATGTAAATTTACAAATAATAAGCGATACTGTACATATGTGACGGAATAGGAACGAATAGAAATGAATAATTGTATTAAATGTAGTAAATGAATATAATTTATTTTGTAATTATATCATAAATATTCAATCGATAGAATTTGTTTTTAGTTAAAATTATTAGAAAATTATTTGTAGCGGCTGCTCCCATAATGGGACAAGATTCCATAGCTAGATCGACAATCCATTGTTTTCCAATTTCAACATTTGATTCTGGTCTTTTATAAAGAAATATATATCTTGTGTGCTCAAGTATGGCTACATATGAACCATCTGAAACATGTAATGAGTTGAAATATTGTTGTAATGATTGTAATAATTGTATGTAAATAATTTGTATTAATAGTTTTAATTAAATATTTACCAGGAGGGGAAAGACAAAACTTTTTGTTACTTTTACTTGCTTCAACATATCCAAATCCAGGGAAAGTGTAGTGGTGCTTTATATTCCATTCAGAATCATTTACTTGACCAGCTATCCATAAACAGCCGTCGTTATCATGTCTTAAACATATTGCTTGTCCAGATTTTGTTTTATATGTATATAATACATGATTATTTACTCCAAGCATTGCTAAATGAGTATTTTCTTGCGTAATTAGGTCAATTCTTTGTAAAAGATTGTCTTTTCCTTCAAGATCACATTCTTCAAGTTGTTCAGCATTAAATCCCAAACAAGGTTGACCTTGTTTGTTATCCATTTGATCTGTACATAAATGTGCCAATCTAAACATGAAACAATTAGATAAGATATTAAAGTACAAATAATGTAACATTTTTATTATTATCGCAGGTAATGTACCTAGAGTGAACTTCAGCAGCCAAAGTTTCATTAAGTAAATGCTCTCCACCAGTGTCACCTTTAATTAGTTCATTCCACATCAAACCACTTTCGTGCTTGTACAATTCAAGTTTAAACGTGTCTTGTTCATATTTCCACGTCGTCAAATTTTCATCTAATCTGTGTTGACATTGTCCTTTAATTAGTACTTTACCATTCACTGTTACTGATAGTTCTAATGGTGTTACATTTACTTTAACTTTATCATGATGTTGCTTATCAATTGTAAGCCAAACTGTTATTAAATCCTCATCTTGAGACCAACAATATTTGGGAATATTTAGTTCTCCAGTCTTTTTTGTATCTTTGTTACTATTAGTAGATTGCTTTGTTTTTGGACATTCAAATGTTATATAATCTTGACAAATGGAATGTAAATATTTCCCACATTTTTCTATATATACATATTCCACTGCACCATTTACATTTAAAGCTTCTTTATTAGTTAGTTCGAAGTACTCGTCTTTACTCCCTACATTTTTCCAACTATATGTTAGTAATAAAAGCCTTGTAATTTTTTTTTCACTTTTACTTTTGATATCACACATCACGATCATAACGGTAGCTGCAGCATTCACATATTGTACATCTAATATAACTCCAGGTTCAGCATCATTTAATATAAAAGATTTAACATGTTCTTGAGTATCTGTTATTAATAAGTTTAAACAGTTATTGCCGTCAGAAAGTACAACAATATCATTGCTAGTAAATCCAATTGATGGATTGTACAGAAAAATCTGTAGTTTTTCACTTGAATCATGAATTACATGTACTTGCTCTAAACATTTATCCTTCTTAAAACGCCATACAACCCAATTTTTATCTATAAACCAAACTGATGTGTCGTATGGATTTTTGAATAAATGATTATGAAATGCAAACAATCGAGTTTCTAAAAGGGAATCCCGGTTTGTTGTTAGTTCTAATCTATATACATCTGTAAATACAAACAGTTATATTTCCAAACAACAATATATTTAATGTATTTTATTGAACAAGAAATGACAATTGTTTAACAATGATTGAATAATATAATTGATTTAACAATAATGATTATTAAATAACAAATAACAATTGAAATAACAATGTATATTTTTCAATTAATCCTTACCTGTTTTCAAATCTATTTCGGTCTCTATTGGAATTTCATCAGTGCAAAACTGATATTTTTCAAATTTTAGGTTTGTTAAATCCCTATCAGGACATAATTCAATAACTTTCGTCATTTTTTGTTTTGTTTTTTATCCTCAGTTAAAACTTAATATTACTCGGATATAAGAGATACGATTATTTTTTCCAGAGTAAAATTTATAACCTTAACATGTTCTCTCTGTTCTGGTTACTTTGGATACTTTTTAATATACTTGATTGTACTTATTTATTGTATCACTTAGTTTGTTTTACAATATTGACAATACATATGCATTAATTTCTTTTTATTTTAACTAAGCTTTAGTACAATATTATGAACATTGACAGATTCAGTCACTAGATGCTACAATCGATAATAATCGATATAGTTACGATATAGAAATAACGATAGTTAACGTTAGTAGATTTGAAGGAACAGTGAAGTAAGGACGTGTCGCGTAAATTTGAAGTGAATTTTCCGAAATATTAAATAGGTATTGACTTTATGTGTATTTTATGTTGTTTTAATGGTAGTGAATCGTGTATCTAATATAACGTGAAATAAAACGAAGCTACACTCTTCTCTGATACTGTAATATATACATATGTACGTAAGTACAAGGGGGATGTTTTATGGAAAATGTTACGTAGAAGTAACAGAATGTATCAGAAATAACTTTTATTGTTTTCTTTTCTCAGTAGAGACGCATTAACTTCGCACGAACTTCTTCAATCAACATATAGCGTGAACGAACAGCGAGAATTTTACTAGCCTCAATCTACGCTTACGTCCAATTGGTAAGTATTATACATTTTCAAAATAAATTATAGATTCTTAGATCCGCAAACATAAAACGTTTAAGAAAAACATTTATCATTGTGCATCATCGCACGTTTAAATTCCTTTATTTCATTATTCGAAATTAGTTCGTTAGCGATGCGCGCGCACGTAACGAACATGGCGCAAAATTTAAAATTCTGCCATACATTCGGGAAATATCAATCCAAAGACAATATTGACTCAACGGAATTTCCGTTTCTTGATTGGTATTTCACAATGCCAAAATAGTTCAGTGGACATCCGAAAATTCTTCGATCATCCGGTAAATAGATTGGTTGCAGATTGAAAATGATTGAACGTCTTGCAGAATCTAAAAAGTTAGACGTAAAAGTACACAAAACAAGTAATATTAGAAATGAATATTAAACTTAGATGCCGATCAAAGTTCATGTTTCATGCAGGGGAATAATTATACTTGTTTGTTTGCTTTAATTGCAGTAATTGATTAAATTTTTAATATACATAGAAATAAATTGTAAAATTTTCTACATTATTGATTAATACTAAAACCATAATTTTGAGATATACTATTTTTTTTATAGAATAATTAAATTTACAGTTTATCCCGTTTTTTTATACAATAAATATTAATTTTTTATACAATAAATATAATTTAATTAAAATTATTATTTTATATGATCATTATATATAAATTGAATTTAATTTAATTAGAAAAAAACTAGATATAAATAAATACGTAAAACATATAATTTCTAAATATATATTAATATTCTTTATTCTACAAGAACAATTTTATATATTTAGATCATTTACTTTCGAGACAATTACAATTTTTAAATTATATTAATTAACCCTGATACAAAAGGTACAAAATTAATTTTACTTATATTTTTATAAAATATTTCATTTTCATTACTTTGAACTGTTACATGAATATTAAAATATATAAAAAAATATATTTCTTTTAATCTCTAATTTATTTTTATCTTTAATACGATTATCTTTCTTCTTGTGATGACAGACCAATTAGTTTATAAATTTATTAAAAATAACTTGGATTTGTTGTACTTATTTCTTTATATTTTTAAGTTTTACTTGTCCAAGGTAATACTTTATAAAAGTTATAAAAACGTACATTTTAATCATTGTTCACGTACAGAATATAGAATCTAGATATGGATAGAGAAGAAGTGACGTCTGATTTTAGTTAGTTCATTTATTAATATACTTTTTGCAAGTAGTTGAGATAATACTGACCTGCAGAGAAATCTTGGATTGTCGCTCGCTGTCCGACGCCATTTAGTGTGATTGCCTAAATAAGATGAAACTTGTTTTAAGTAATTCTCTGGTTAAACACATTAGACAGCGAAAATGTTATGTTATTTCGAAGATTTCATTTCAAGTAGCGATGAAGAACTTAAGATAGGATGAAAGTCACTATAGAGAGATTGTGATTAAAATATTCTTTCTCTTAATGCAACATGCATTCAAATGCGTTCTGTCGATTCTCTTCGCATTATACTTACGACCCATGCAATATTGATTGATGCATCTTCATAATCAAACTCAAATGTTGTTTCTCTAGTTAATTCGTAAATCTTATTAATTCGTATTATCTGTCGTTGAAGATTGGTAAAAAGCGCAGTTTCGTTCATGCAATTGAATGTTGTCTTCAAATATGTCCGCTTCGCTAAAGTAGACTTATTTTACCCTACAGTCTTATTTCTTATATTTGCAATATTACTTTTCGAAAGGAAAGAGTTTTCAACTGATATACAAGTACTTATATTTCTATGATATTAGTCAAAGTTCTTTAGAATATTGCTTTTAGAAAAGTAATGCATGAAGAGCAGAGAGGAGAACTTTCCTCGCACGTGA